GTTTGCCTAAGCGCGCAGGCTGACCTGGCGTCCCCTTCCCCTCCAGATCCAGAGCATCGTGGTCACAAACCAGGAGTTCGGGCTCAGCAGCAACGAGCCAACCCTGCCTTTCTACTATGCCGATTTTGATGGGATCCTGGGAATGGCCTACCCCTCGCTGGCGGTGGGAGGGACGCCCACCGTGCTGCAGGGCATGCTGCAGCAGAACCAGCTCACCCAGCCCGTCTTCAGCTTCTACTTCTCTCGGTAAAAATCTGCCAGGGCCCTCTGCACATCCAATGTGCGCTGGTGTCCCTCTACCTGTCCCCATGCAGATTCCTTGTGAATTTGTCCCTCGCTAGCCCATGCATATCGCACCGATTTACCAACTTCTGCTGCTGTAACTCTGTGTTTTTGCAGTCAGCCCACCTACAGCTATGGGGGAGAGCTCATTCTCGGTGGAGTTGACAACCGGTTCTTCCATGGAGACATTGCGTGGGCACCGGTGACCCAGGAGCTTTACTGGCAGGTCGCGCTTAATGAGTGAGTGGTGTTTGTGCCTGATGGGCATGATCCACCCGGGCAGCTCACGGCATGAGGGCATTTCAGCTGTTCTCCAGATGAAGCTGCAGCTATTGCAGCAGGCGTGGGCTCCAGGCAGGGGCTAGGCACTGCATTTCAGAGCATCCCAGACTTATAGATCCAGCTGAGACAGGTTTAGTTGCCAGTGGGTGCTTAAAGTGACGTCCTTCTCCCCATTCTCCTCTCAGATTTGCTATTGGGCAGTCGGCGACGGGCTGGTGCAGCCAGGGCTGCCAGGCCATCGTGGACACAGGGACGTTCCAGGTGACGGTGCCCCAGCAGTACCTGAGCAGCTTCCTTCAGGCCCTGGGTGCCCAGGAGACCAGCTACGGTGTAAGTGCAGGGGATGCTCTGGAGGTGCACGTGGAGCCACGGGGAGGCTTGCAAGTGAGCCAGAAGCCATGGGCTTGACCAGATCCTGCAAAACTCACGTGGCATCTAGAGAACATGGTGCCGCAGGCATGTCAGGGCGGTGATGTGGCACTGCCAGGGGCTAAAGTGTGTGTTACTCCCACTTAGCAGGGTATCTCTCCTCTCACAGTCGGTGCTGTTCCAGCCATAACCTCCTCTTCACCCTCTCTCCGCAGTATGCAGTTGACTGCAATGAGGTCCTGAACATGCCCCCCATCACCTTTGTCATCAACGGAGCCCACCTCCCACTCTACCCCTCCGCCTACGTCTCGAACGTACGTATTAGCTGAGCAGCTTCATCCCGCTGAGTCCTTGAGGGCCAGGAAAGGACCTGGTGCTTCTTGACAAGCAGCGATGCTCTCCCTCCCTGCAGCCCAGCTGGCAGGGTCCTGGTGCTTGTTTGAGGCTCTGACTCCCTGTTATTCCCCCCTTACAGAACAACGGCTACTGCACCCTTGGGATTGAGGTCACCTACCTGCCTTCCCAGAACGGGCAGCCGCTCTGGATCTTGGGTGACGTCTTCCTCAAGGAGTATTACACTGTCTTTGACATGGCCAACAACCGTATTGGCTTCGCCCCATCAGCATAGGGGAGTGGAGCAGCAAAATCCAGCCCCTCTCCTGGCCAAACACACCTTAGCTGGCATTGCTGGAGCACCATGGGGTTCCTATGGACCTTTATGTTCCTTGACTGCCTGCATGGCTCCCTGTCCCTCCGAGACTTCTGTGGAGGTGTGTTCTCGCAGTCTCCTGTTGCAAATAAAACCCAAGATCGCAAATCATCTCTGACCTTCTGAGTTTGTTGAGTGACTGAGCACAGACTGATGGGTTGTGTGTCTCAGCCGCTCTTTCTCCAGCAAGATAAGCGCCGTGATAAACTCCTAGGCAGATTTCCGCAGAGTCAGCATGGGGAAAGCAGTGGGGAAGCTGTCCCTGGGCTGCTTCAAATCTAAAGTCAACGTATTTATGTTTCTTGCAAAGGGGTATGGCATGCTGTCGACTCCTAATGGCTGCGGGACTGAGTATCAGCCTTTTATAGTGAATTATTGGGCTTGGGGGTGGCTCTGATGAACGCAGCAGCCTCCAAGCTGCAGCTCAGCTCACAGCCCGAGGGGTGCAGGGACGGCAGTGACCAGTCCTTCCCCACGCTGGTGCCCGGGGTAGCTCCTGCAGACGGTGCAGCCCAGCTTCCGAGCCCTTGCTGTGAAGGTGTCCCCCAGCCCAGCCCCGTCCCAAATCCCAGCCACTGCCTTTGGGCCTGCCTGCACCCCGCTTGTCCTCCTTCCCTCAGGGAGGGACAAGCCCAGAACAAGGGTCCTGACCCTGAGTCCTGCGAGGGCTTTGCTTTGCAGGCGAGAAGCACCACGCACCAGGCTGCGGTGCAGGGGATCAGGACAGCAAAAGGTCACTCTGGCTTGGTCTTAAACACCAACCACAGCCCCGGGGACAGGAGTTCCCCAAAGCATTCCCCAAAAAAACAGTTCTGCTCTGTGCCATCAGGTGCTGGGCGTGTCTGGGAACGCCGTGCGTGTCCCTAACGGAGCGGGACGGCTTCATCCTCCTCTAGCCGCCGCTTGCCGCCAGGCTGCATGAAGTCGCTTCAGGGGGACGCTCACCAGCACCTACTCAGGCAAATACAGAGTTAGCCGGCGGCGGTGGACATTGCTTCGCTTGCAGTTTGTGGTGACCTCGGAGCGGCTGCGGGACACGCTGTCCTGTCTCTCGCTGCTGCTGGTACTTGCAGGGCTGAACCGATGGCTCCATCCAGCCCAGGATAAAGCTGTGGTGCGGGGCGGTCCCCACCTCCGTCCCTCTTGCTGGGCATCGGGAAACCTTGTCAGAGGTGCATGTGGGAAGCCACTAATCTTCCTTGCAGCTGGATAAGGTGTAACAAAGTCCTGTGGCTAAGTCAGAGTGGGAATATGAGGCCAGATGAGGTTAGCCATGACATCCAAATGACCCCTAAATCCTGAAGTGGGGCTATTCAGTCAGGTAAAACAACAGCTGGAGTATTGGGAATCACGGTCTGTGGCCGAAGGGGACAGGGAGCACCTTGGCTGGGGGAGGCTCGGGTAACACTGCTCTTTCCCGGGATCCAAACTTGTTTCTTAGAAGCTCTTTATCATTGGAGCTCATTATCAGATATATTGATAGCGCTGTCATTCCACCAGAGAAAGGACACAAACTCCTCTGTGCTTTGTGTCAAAATATTGACACAGGTTGAGCGCAGCGAGAAGGAGATTACGTAGGTGCGTGTAGCAGGGAAGGGCATTTCTCCTCCCCTATAAAATGGGGAGGTTTCTGAGAGCTGAAGCTGCTCTGGCAGCAGCGGTGGCAGGAAGGGACAGGCAATGGCTGACCGTGTCCCTGCTGGTCTTTGCTCTTCCCTTTGTTCCCTGAAGGATCCATCGGAGCAGAGAGAGATCCATTAGGATGCGATGGAGGAGGAAGAGGTGGTGCCGGGGTTTTTCTGAGCCACCACAGGCTCGAAGCACCGGTCCAACGCCGACAGCTTGGAGCGGAGCAGCAAGGCTCTGCTGGGCTCCATCCCCACTGTCAGCGGGGACTGGGGAGTCTGGAAGTGCCCCGCTGCCCTTTGCTGCTCCTGGCCGACCCGGGGAGAGCTGCGCTGACCCCCCTTCTGCCCGCTCCTGGGGTGCGTCTGTGGGTGACCCCCATGGGACAAATTCAGACCCGGACAAAGATTTTCGTCCAAGGGAAACAGAAGCAGAACCACAGCGTGTGGCGGGTGCTCGAAGCAATACGCCTTAAAGCGCGTGGTTACGGTGGGGTGGCCCAGCGCCGCGTCCCCCAGGCTGAGGGGCCCGAGGAGCCTTGGCCTTTTGGTCCAGCTTTGCACAGAACAGCCCCATGTCTGTCTCCTCAGGTTTTCCACAGGAGATGAGGCCGCTGGCCAGCACAGATGAGGCTGCCAGGCTGATGGGGACGTGGGGACAATCGCCTTTCCTTGGCAGCACGTGGCAGAAGTTCTGCAGGCGGTGAGTGCCCAGGCTTTGGACTACAAGGCTGAGCAGCACCCTCAGGGTACCAGATGCCAGGATGGGTCCTCAGTGACCGGGCAGGGACTGGCAGGGCTGCCTGGCTGGTAGCACCCTCCCAGGGGGAGGAAAGGGTCTCCGGGGACTAAAAATCCCCTGCAAATGAATGCCTAATACACACTCCCCTGCACCTCTCCAGCCTGGGCACGGCCAGCAGGACTCAAAGCCTGCGGGGGACAGCATCTCTAATGCACCAGACGTGCGACCCGAGCGTCCTCGGCGTAACGCTGACCCGGAGAGCAAACAGCAGCAGATCAAAGCATCTTTTGGAGATGGTTGAGCGGTTGTAACTGGGCAGGGAAAGGCCCGTTATGTCTTTCAGGGCTGCTATACCGAGCAGTTTCTAGCCCCCATCTCAGCCTCTTCGGGGCACTAGCAGAGCTGGAGGGCAGAAGGGGCAGGATGACAAAAGGACAAATGCCTGGAAAGAGAGACATTTTGGGGGTACGTGCTGGTTCCCGGGAGGCTTGGAGCTGGGCTGAAAGACCACCCCGGCTGTTCCTGCTGGATGTGTTGAGGGAATTGGACGTAACCCAGTCTGTAGACTTGGATGGAAGAAATACTGCCGGCCTGGGGCACTTCCTTGGCTGCCTGGATGGGTGAAAAGAGGAACACCAGGATCATAAGTTTCCATTTGCTGTAAAGGGTGTGTTTTGCCTTTGTTCTCTGGAAAGATCAAGCCGGTACTAAAGGCAAGAGAAAATACTTTAACTTCTTGATAACAACAGAATTTTGCTTTTTATCAGATGTTACATATTTGGTCTCGGTATCAGAGGTACTGGCCAATGCGTTAGCGCCCGAAGATCAGGTAAGAAGGCAAAATCAGGGCGGCTGCAGCAATAAACACACTGCAAGCGTCGGCGTTGGGTGGGTGCAGTGATAGAGGCAGGGGCTGGGCACCCGGCTACATACACCCTGCCCCGGCCGAGGTGGTGCAGGAGCCGCCATGGAGCCACCACGACCGGCTGCCATGCGGTGGCTGGTGCTGGCCCTGCTCTGCCTTGGGCTCGGGGAGGGGATGGTGAGGTGAGCCCCGGGGCTGGGATGGGTGCAAGGGTGCCAGGTCCGGCCGCGGAGCGGGGCTCGCCCTCGGCACATGGGGGTGCACACGTGGATGGGGCCGCCCGCCCACTCAGCGTCTCGCTGCCGACTCCATCCCACGCAGGATCCCGCTGAGGAAAGGCAGGTCCGTGCTGGAGGTGATGAGAGAGAAGGGGATGCCGGAGGGGTTCCTGAAGCAACTCAGAGGGGACCCCGGTAGGAAATACCAGCTCAGTTACGCAGTGGCTTACGAACTGCTAACAAACTACCTGGATGTAAGTACTAAAGCTTTGCCTTCTGAGCCACCCAGCTCCAGTTTTTGGGGCTGCCCCCCTCCTCTGGCTGGAAGCTCCGCAGCGGGTGGCTCGGCTCCCTCCCTGCTCATGAGTCCAGCGGCTGGGCTGGGCACGGGCAGGAGTTTTGCTGTCTTTGTAGCCCGGCTCCCAGGGCTGGGTGATGTTGGGAGACGAAGGCAAGAGGCAGCACGTCTCATCCTGAATTGATTTCCCTTCTCAGAAAAAGCAGATTTTGATGGTTATAGGGCAGATCTACTACTCCTGGCCTTGATGGTGACTTCGTTATATCGTAGCAAATCATTCCCCCTTTCTGTGCTTTAGCTGCCCTGGCTGCACGCAGGGACTACGAGCCCTTCGTACAGCGCCTGAATGGTTTGGGTTTCTCAGGTAGCAGAGGGCAGAGAGCTGGAAAGTCTCATTCCGAAAAACCAGGCAGGAACAGAAATCTGCCCGTGCTCTTGTTCGCAGTCCTTCTACTTCGGGGAGATCAGCATCGGGACCCCCCCGCAAAATTTCCTGGTGCTCTTCGACACCGGCTCTGCCAACCTGTGGGTGCCCTCCACCTACTGCCGGACTCCAGCCTGCGGTGAGCATCCCTCGGGGGACCCAGCGGTGCCGGGGATCCCCCCCGTCGGCGCTCCCGGCCATCCCTTGCGCGCTGGTGCTACGAGAGGGAAATCAGTGAGAGCCGACGGGGTTCGCTCTCTGCTCGGTGACGCCGGCAGGGCTGGTTTTGGACGGCCCCTTCCCTGTGAAGCCCCTGGCTGGGGATTTCTGCCCGTATGGGGACAGGGATGCTGAACCACCGAGGGCAGGGTGTGACCTGGCGGCTGTGACCTTCTCTCCGTGCAGCAAATCACGCCAGGTTCAACCCCAGCCTGTCGTCCACCTTCTCGGGCATTGGAGTGAACTACACCCTGAGCTACGGGTTCGGTGACCTGCTGGTGGTGTTAGGGTACGACACCGTGACAGTAAGTGACCTCTGATGCCACACGCTTCCGATGCACTGCTGCAATCAGGGCAAGAAGCGACTGCAGTTGTGAGCTGGTCAATTTGGTTAAAAATGTAGGGGGTAGCTTAATGTGCTGCCTTATTTTGGATATTAGTGCCCAAATCTCCCGTGTAGAGTTTATGGCGTGTCAGCATAAATTTACTTGGAGACTGGGATCTGCAAACAAACTCAGTCTGAGTCCTCTGGGCTCTTCATCACTGCTTTGGGCTGAGGGATACCTTTGGCCATAAGTATTTGCTTTTTACACTGATGGCTGAGCTTTGTCATTACAGGACATAAGAAATGTTCTGTTGTGAGGCTTGCACACAGTGAAAGTGTGATTTTAAACTAATTTAACTGAGGCAAACCGTTTTTGTGGGTATTTTTATGAAATAATAAGGGTGATGGGACAAAGACTATGAGCCAGGCTGCTCCCGACTCCATCTCCCATCTGCAATGGGGAAGAGCTCAGCACCTCTCAGTGCAGATTTACCGTCCTGACCTTCCTGGCCACCCCTGCCTCTCCCCAGAAGCTCCCTGGGAGGTTGCTGTCACGGGGGATGTCCGAGCCGCCGACATCTCCCAGCACCTTTCCTCTCCCTCCAGATCCAGAACATCATCATCAGGAGCCAGGAGTTCGGCCTGAGCCTGGCGGAGCCCAGCAGACCCTTTTACTACCTGGACTTCGATGGGATTTTGGGCATGGCTTACCCGGGCGTTGGCATCGGCGGTTACAACACGCTGGTGCAGAACATGCTGGAGCAGAGCCTGCTCACCGACCCCGTCTTCAGCTTCTATTACTCACGGTGGGATCTCTGACAGCGGGTCTCTCTCTTGCATCAACACAGCCTGGATCCGCCTTTTTCTTCATTCACTCCATCCACACGTTCTCCCCGAGCACGCGTATGCTACACCGCTTTCTGCTGAGCAGCCTGCCTGATTTGGGATTTAATTTTCTGTCTTTCCAGCAACCCGACATATAGTTACGGCGGGGAAGTCATCCTCGGAGGGGCTGACCCCCAGCTGTACTCCGGGGAGGTTTTATGGGCTCCCGTGGTCCAGGAATTGTACTGGAAGATCGGTATTGAGGAGTAAGTGCTGCACCACGGCTCGGAGTGGGTCTTGGGCGGGGGGAGCCTTTTCTGATGCCTTTTCTGCTGCTCTCCCCAGGTTCTCCATCGGGCTGTCAGCCACCGGCTGGTGCAGCCAAGGCTGTCACGGCATCATGGACACCGGGACGTTCCTGCTAGCTGACCATCCCAGGACAATTCATGTCAGCCTTCCTGCAGGCGCTGGGTGCGGAGGAGAATGACTATGGGGTAGGTGGGAAGGATGCCCCGCACACACGGGGGGCCGATGCCGTGGGATGAGGATGCATCTGGGCAGTAACGCGGAGCCATGGAGGGCTCCTGGCATCTCTGGAGCAAAACATCTCACCTAAACAACACTGCCGTGGCCTATCTCCCCTTGCAGTGGCATAAAACAAAACCAATTCTTCCAAACATGATAAACCCGGGTCAGCACAGCCCTGCCACAGTCAGAGCTGTGCTGGCCCTTAGGGAGCGCGGCCGGGGTTACGGCCAGAGGAGGGACGGTGCCCAGCCCGGGGTCCTGACCCCTCTGCCCCCTTTGCTTCTTTTGCAGTTCGTCGTCGACTGCAGCAGCGTCCCGAGCATGCCCACCCTCTACTTTGCCGTCAGTGGAACCCAGTTACCGCTGCCTCCCTCCATCTATGTCTTAAACGTAGGTGTGATTTTATCGTGCCCAACACGCGTTTCCCACCATAGGGCGGTTTTGCCCAGGAGAAAGTCAGAGTTTCTTTTCAAACACAGAGGCTTCCAGCAGCCTGAGTGCCATATTTCCAGCACCCGATTTCACGGTGCTTTCGCATGCCTCTATGTGACTGTAGGGAGGGTCTAATCCTGCTCCCAGCCAAAGCAGCCATGAAGGCACGGGCAGGACAATCCCCCGTGCTCCTCACTGGCACTGAAATCTGCTCCTTTTCCCCCGACAGAACAATGGCATCTGCACCGTTGGGGTCGAGAGCACGTATGTGCCCTCCGACAGCGGCCAGCCGCTCTGGATCCTCGGCAACCTCTTCCTCCGGCAGTATTACTCCATCTTCGACATGGCCAACAACAGAGTTGGCTTTGCCCTGTCAGCCTAGGGATGCTGAGCACCGCCCGCAGGATAATTTGTTCCTGCAACACCTTATCCTCTCCTGGACCCGTGCATGGTGATGAGTACTCTCCAAATCTCCTGTAGTGAATAAAGGGCTGCAAATCTAACAACTGCCTCGTGTCTCATCCGGCTGCGGCTGAGCAGGACCTGGCACAGCTCTTCTTAATAAAACAACAAAGTCTGAGTTCATGCTCGAGGTTTCCAGTCGTTGCCTGGGCTGAGAGTTTCAGACGTGCATGGAGCCTTTGAATTTGCAGCGATGACAAATTTGGGGTCGCCTTTTTGGTTGGGATCCGGATCCCTGCTGCGGCTGGCTGGGAAACCGGGATGACCGGGAGAAATTCAGGCTGCACCATGTGCTCAGCCATGGTTCGGGGACTCCAGGGCTGAGCCCGTGCGGTAGCTGGAGGCTTCAGAAACCAGTTCGGAGCAGGATGTGCAGAGAAAGGAGCTGTGTGTGAACAGCTCTCGGTTCATTAGGTTTGGGGGAACTGCCCACACGTATTTGCAAATGAATTAGGGATTAAAAAGTGTCATGCAAGGACACTCAGGCTGAGGAAAACACCCTGGTTTTGTTTTCGAGCGGTAATCTCTTCATTGCTGCAGCCTCGAAGGATGGGCGATGAGAAGGAAGGGGGTGGCCTGCCTGGGATGCAGATGCGACCAAGGCTTGGGGTGTCTGGATCCCCCCGAGAGGAGCTGATGGATGCAGCATCAGATGGATCGGGCCAGTGCTGGTCCTCGGGGTCCAGCCCGGGGCGATGCACGGGGACGCAGCGCTGAAGGGCCCATCGCCCGTTGTCTGACACCCATCTCCCAGTCAGATGACAGTCACCCCGCCGGGGCATGTGACCACCCATCAAATCTGCTGTTTCCAGCCAAATCCGCCACGGCGGGGGCGG